AAATCTAAAACTCTTGGTTCAGAGATGATACCTTTTATTACACCAACTGAGAAATTGCAAAAAACATATCTATTTCTGCAAAGCTTTCAGGCTCACATGCCCTTCACCAGGCTCAGGAAACGTTAAAATTTATTTTCTACATATGGGTACTTTTTACCATCTTTAACTTTCCCTGAGCCTGATGAATGGCATGTGAGCCCAAATATCTTTTTCTATAAGTTTTCGGACTCACATGCCGTTCATCAGGCTCAGGGAAAGAAAAAGATATATTTTTTTTGCAATTTCTCCATTGGTCTAATAAAAGGTATCATCTCCAAGAAATGTCAAACCAAGAGTTCAACATTTTTGCATTTTCGTTTAAGGCTGTTTACATGGGGAGGAAATCTCTTCAGTCTCTATTTGTTCCTAAGCACAGGAGTCAGAGTCAAGAATTAAAATCAACTCTCTCTACAAGAAGAATGGTTCTCAGCCTCTGAGGTCCTGGTTAGGGCAAAAGTATTTATAAAAATACACCAGGATGAAAAAGCCAGTTGTAATAAATCACTGTCGAATCCTTCAGGTACACTCTCTCTCATTCTTCCTTATACTGGGCCCACTGCTGTGGTATCTAATGACCGGACACTATAAATCAGCACAGAAACATGAATATTCTTTAGGGATCATAAACCCTAGGAGCTAGCACCCTATGATGCCCTATATGATTACCTCCAGGCCAGCTACAGGACCAGTCAACATACTCTAGGATGGTTACCAAAGCTAGGGGATAATCTCCTATAATGTCCTATAGGAAGGATGGACAAACTGTGGCTGATGAGCTACATGTAGCTCCTGGGTGGTGTGAATGCAACTCTTTGAGAAAACAGTTTAACACCAAATTAGTATTTGAGCCAGGGCACTGTGTCTAAATCACTGACTCCAGAATCTGTTTTATGCCCTGAAGCTTTCAGCTGCATCAACATCTTGAAGGATTAGGAAGTCTGGCCACCCTTGTTCTACAAAAAGGTTCAAACAGGAAAGGTAAGTGGATGAGTTTCACCTACAAGTGCTCATCACATACAGATTAAAAAAAAATGTGACCAGCATCAGCAATACTGGCATGAAGGGTGAGCTCTGAAGAGCAGTCATCCACATAGGACAAAGTCTCAACACCCACTGAAACCCACCCAATGAAAAGAAGACCAAGGCTTTTTCCCCATCTCCCAAACCCATACGAAATGAATTTGGAGATTACATTTAGAAAAGCCACCCCACTTCCATCAGCCGGGGGGAACTACAACATGCAGGAAGCAGGCAGGGAGCCTACCATGCAGGGTTTCCCCTGTAGTTATTTCCCGACTGGACACGTGACTAACCATGACTTGGAGGACATGCTTGCCATGTCTGCCATCTAGTGGCAAGAACATGCTTTTTTACATGGTAAGAAGATTAGCTGAGGGTGAGTCAAGGCCAGTCCATGACTGGAAACTGAACTGGACCCTTCAGGAGCATTATTACTGATAACTCAGTACCCACGTAGAAGCCCTAAATACACACTACGCTCAACAGTGAACAAATCTTTTCTGAATAACGAATAATGTCATTCTAAACAAACACAGCTTTATTCATGTCACTTCTTAAGAAGAAGGCGAACAGAGAAGGTAATTAACCCCTGCACAGGGCACTGGCACAAACCCCTACATCCCTTTAGTCCCATTCAAATTCATCTTTAAAGACCTTAGCATCCTCTGCAAAGGAATGAACTCCCCTCGCACACAACACAATGCTAAGGGATTTTGTCCCTGCTGCAGGGAATGGACCCAACCACGCTCTCAACAGCTTAAATCTAGTGGGCTGGGATTAAAGTTGGTGTAGCAGGGCACTAGATTTAAGTGCCTGCTACTGGAGGCAGTGTGGCGAGCTCAGCTGCCAATCACCAGGGCAGCACAGGTGTGGGGTTGCCATGACAACCGGTCTGGTCATCTGACCAGAAGGGGGCAGGGCCTGGCCTTTATAAACAACATAGGCCGAGGCCAGAGTCCAGTCCCCCTCTGGCTGCCAAGGAAGATGGAGCTTGAGAAAACCCTGATGGGGAGGTATATGGAAGCAAGCCAGGTTGGCTAGGAATTTATGTTACAGCCCAGGGGTTTTGTGCTTATGGTTTTTTTTGTTGTGGCGTGAGAAGCGTGGTGTTACACTGGAGGACCGGGTGAGGCTGTAGGGGTGGAGGAGGCCTCAGTAGGAGCCCCCCAGTGAGGTGGGGGTACTCCGAGCGCCAGGGAGGGCGCTGTAGTGGGCGCGAGAAGCGCGAGTAGGAGCCTGGTGCGGGCTATGCGGGCACGGGAAAGAGACCCCGGTGTGGGCTACGCGAGCACAGGCAAGAGGCCCAGTGGGCAAGGATGTGAGAAGCGCAAGGGTGCGAGAAGCACTGTAGGCCCAGGGGGCAAGGGCGCGGGAAGCGTGGCGCGAGAAGCGCGAGGATGCGAGAAGCACTGTAGGCCCGGTGGGCAAGGGCGCAAGAAGCACAAGGGTGCGAGGAGCACTGTAGGCCCAGCAGGCAAGGGCGCGAGAAGCACAGCGCAAGACACACGAGCAGCAGGGCACGAGAAGCGCGAGAGGCGCGAGAAGCACGAGCAGGAGGGTGCGAGAGGCGCAGCATCAGGCACCGTGTCAGGGAAGGAGAAAGGCAGCCTCCCTACTAGGAGCCAAACGTCAAAGACGTGGCGGGCAAGTGATCGAGGGTGCAGGAAACCTGGTCTGGCACGGTACGCAGGGGCATGAAGGGAGGTCACGGCACCCCCAAGGCCCCGCCCTGCCACAGTTGGCCATAACTTGGCCTGAGGACCATGAATCAGGATTAGCCACATTCATCAGAGAGGCAGAAAGTGTTGTTACACTGGATCTGCACTCAAAGAACTAACGTTTTCAGCCACTTCTGATCCTGTTTTAGAGCTGATCTTGTTTCAGACTGTGGTTTGCAGACCAGATCTAGCCCATGAGGCCCTGTCATCCAGCCCATGGGTCTCCTCACAAGCCCAGAAATCTGGCAGCAGGGGCGCAGCAATTAACACTGCCATGGCTCCCCAACAGGATGAATAACATGGCCCCATGTGCTATTATGTGCCAGCATGTGGTCGGCCTGGCATGAGAAATCGGGCCAGCAGATACAACCAGGCCAGCATGTCGGATAACACACGTGGGCTGACCCCACGCAACAACCCATGGATTGGGTCCATGGACTGGCCCCCGCACCATTCTTCTGGCCCATGGGGCCAGAGGTTTGAGCACCACTGCTGCAGAGGATCCATCAGCAAGATGGATCCTCTTGCAAGATGGGACCTTCAGCACAGAGGATTGATTCAGCCCGATCCAACCTGTCAAGTGACTGCATTCAGCTTAGGGCACAACAGCATCAGCAGGGGTGGGTGACAGGGGACCTGGCATGGACCCAGAAGGGTCCCCTTCCTCCCACATCCCTGCCACCTGAGCACCCCACTTGCCAGCCTGCTCTACTTTATTTTGGACCCCCATCCCCACTGACCTGTTACTGCAGCCACAGGTCCTTTCACCCTCACATTTGTTGCTTGCATCAGTTGGTGGCAACAGGAATTGGTGGAAAGAAATAAGAAGTGGCGGCAGCCAGGGTGGCTGCAGTAGGGACAGCAGCCCTCTGCACAGAGCAGGGAGGCCTGGGGTGGCAGAGGGCAGTGGGAAGTGGCAATCGGGTTACAAGCAGCAAGCTGCATTTGGACCCAGCTGCCTTATTTCAGCCCATGGCTCCTTCAAGCCTGAGACCCCCTGCTGCAGGTGCATGTGCCTTGATGATATGATGCAAAGGGAGATTTCATCCAATGTCCCTGGGTTTGTACTAGGGCTGCAGCTTGAACCTTGTCTTCATGGCCCACGTAAGCTCTATTAAAGGCTTCTCCTCCATTATGGAGCAGTAGCACCCAGGGGCCCCACCCCAGGCTGGCTTGGTTTGAAGCTGCTGGATGCACCACTCCATAAAGAACAGAAATTCATGCATCTGAGTGCTGTCAGGATACATTCTTCCCCCAAAGGACTGTTCTTGAGGGCTAGAGTTTCCAGGGATTCACCAAAAGCAGCAAAGTAATATGATTAAAAGACAATTTCTTCGGTTTCCCTCTGAGAAGGTGGCAGGATCCCTTGGCTCTCAGTGGAAGCCAGACTAATAATAGCTAGAGCGTAGCTGTCCTGGTTTGGAAGAGCTCCAGGGAAGGAAGGTGCTTGGGAACTCCACAAACAGGTTAGTCCAGCTCATTCAGGGGAGATTCACATAACATTAAAATCAAGGGAAAGCTTTCCAGGACAACAGAGTACATCTAATCAGGCCAAGCTAAAAACAGACCTCGGGAAAACCTTTACACATGCAACTTGAATGGCAATTAACTTGGATGAGCAGAAGTCTTATCTCAGTGCTTCACAGGTTCTTAAAGTGGAACAATGGATAAAAGTCTTTGGGGGGGGGGGGAGGGAAGAAACCCAATGTCTGCTTTCAGCCCTAAATGACAAAGGCTAGAAACAGACCTTGGGTTTTGGGGCAAAGCTTTTTATTCTGGGAGCCTACAGAGCCTGGGTAGGAGCCCATTTTTCCATGAGAAAGCACTCCCCCCCACCTCTGCAACATGAGCTATCCTGTTGATTGTATCTGCGATGGATAAATCCTGTCCTGGACCTGTCAGATCCCAGGACAATTAGATCGGGGATAAACCTGACATCATTTTTTAGCCATGGACACTGCTTCCAGGAAGGGTAGCACCGCCTGCCTTGCTGTTGCTGAGTTTTGGTGAAAAGATTCAGAATTTTGCAATGCTGATCCTGGGGAGGGGGGTCTGGCTGGCACGACTGCCCTGCCCTCATTCCTGTCTGCTGTATTTCCTGTCTCAAAGCCTACAGCATGTTTTAAGAGAGTGCATACATGGATACTTTGGTAGTGAAGGGAAAACCTCCAAAAGCATTAGAGCTGCCCATGGCAGAGGTGGAGGAGGCCAGACTGCACATACCGGGGTTTGGAAGCAGCAGTAAAGCTGGGTGAGGAATGGGTGGTTCCTTGCCAATGACAGGATGCGTTTCTCCGTCATGGTACACTCCACGTCGTCGTCCTGCAGAATGACGTCCTTCTTCAGCACTTTCACTGCATACAGCTGACTGGTCTCCTTTATTTTGGCAAGCATTACCTATAGTAACCAGGAGAATAAATCACACATGGGCTAAATCTGATCTTTCTCCCTATGCTGCAGCTGAAAGGACATGGTGGCCTCTTCTGTACCACCTCCAGTTAGACAAGCAGCAGCATATCTTCATAGTATGTTGGGATGTGCTATACAATCTGTGTGGCTGCCGTGTCAGGACGTACAGTGCCATTAGTGTGGACATCTACTGTGCACCCGGATGCCAGCAGCAGCCAGCCTGAGGCATCAGAGATAGGATAAGGCCAAACTACACCTTGGCTCAGCAAATGGAAACTTGCTAGGTTCCTGTACCAGCGTGAGCACGCGAATGTGTGCACCACACACACACAAAGCAATGCCTTTTTTCTCACCCTGCCGCATAGTTACAGCCTGGCCTTATGGGCGGTGATGTTCTGAAAGCACCACTTACACAATGGCCTGAAGGAAAAAAAGGCATGTGCGTGTTTCACGTGAAGATTAAGACTTTGCTTCCTTTACCAGAGATGTTTTACTTCCTCAAGGAAAAAAGGGATCATTTATTTGCATACAAATTTGGAGATGCTCCCTTGCAGGTAGTCATTGCTCTCTTGGCTGGGGTTGCTTGCCTTTGCTGTTAGACCCAATGGTCCAGTTCATGGGTGGTTTTTCATTCCCCACCCCACTGGAGGTGGCCTTTCTGTGTACCACATGGGCAACCAACCTGATGCTTGGTGATGCTCTTCATTTGGAGCCTGTACTGGCCTCCAGCCAAGTCCTTAGAGCAGAGGCCATGTGTCTAAGGGAGGCACCCCATTCCCAGAAGAGCCAGGAAGGACACTCACCTTCCCAAAGCTGCCCTTCCCCAGTACTCGGAGAAAGGTCAAATCTTTGATCCCGATTCTGCAAGTGGAACTTTGGCTCTTGCTTTTACTCTCTTTTTTACTTTCCTTTCCATGGTGCTTCAGTGTGGGCCTGGACACCAATTTCTGCGAAGAAAAGTCATTCTTAATTTGCCTAGGAACAGTATGTCGCCTCTGAAACACCCAGTTCCCCACCTGGGTATGCATGCTCTATATAGATGCATTGCATGGGGGCCAGTGTGAAAAAGGCATTGGGCACACCACCACTACAGGCTGTGTGTGAGACAAGCCCGCTTCGCCTCATCCAGCCATAAAAAACTCACATGAACAAATCTTGCTCTGGGTATTCGATCTTCTTTTTTGCAATTTGCCCAAATGCAAGAGCCATGCTTGCTCCCCTGCCTTTCAAAGGGGAAAGCTCACTGAGGCAACCTGGGAGTCTCCTACCTAGTTCACTGGGAATTTATAGGAACGTGAATCAAAATGGCTCCCTCGTACTTTACAGTCTGAACAGTATTGTGGTATCTCGAGTCCAAAAGATCTGGGCTTAGTCACATCCACTCCTCTGTCTCCTTCCATGCTTCTAACTACCTCCATCAAGCATTGAGTTACCTTATCTGTTAGACCAGGGGTGGGCAAAATGCAGCCCACCAGGCCATTCTATCCAGCCCACGGGGCATCTAAAAAATTTAGAAAATTAATATTTAGCTGCCCCTGACTACCTGTCATGTGACCCTCGATGGCTTGCCAAAACTCAGTAAATGGCCCTCCACCCAAAATAATTGCCCGCCCCTGCATTAGACCCTTTTTGATCGTGTCTCTTTAAAATCATAGGAAAATTAAGGGTGGAAGGGACATCAGGAGATCATCTAGTTCAGTCCGCTCTTACAAGCAGCATGATCCCTGTCTAAACCATCCTCAGCAAGAGTTTGTTTAATCTGCTCTTAATAACTCCCCAGGATGGGCATGCCACAACCTTTCTGGTTGTCTGGTCCAATTTCCAAAGCGTCACCACCCACACAGGAAAAAAGTATTCCTCCTACTCTCCAACCTCCATTTCCCTTGCTGCAGTCTAAAACCCTTGCTCCTTGTCCTGTCCCCTGCAGCCCTGTCACCACCCTCTTTACAACCACGCTTAAGAAACCCAAGGACGATTATCAACTTTCCATTCTGTCTTCTCCTTGCCAAACTAAATACTCCCAATCTTTGCAACCTTTTTTTTTTGTAAATCACATTTATCAGGCTCTAATAATTTTTTGGCGCTCTCTGCTGAACGTGTTCCAATTTGTCCCCATCTTTCTTGAAGTGCGGTACCCAAAACTGGACATGGTACTCCAGATGCCTCATCGGTGCTGAATACAGCAAGAGAATCACTTCTCTTAACTTGGAAGTGATACTCGTGTTAATACAACCCAGTCTGCTACTGGCCTTTATGGCAACAAGAGCATGCTCTAGGGTCCTATTCAGCTTATGGCCCACTGTGACCAATCAATTCATTTTATTACATTGCAGATTATTTCTCCAGTTTCTCAAGGTTATTCTGAACTTGAATACCACCCTCCAAAGTGTCAACATCTCTAGCCATCTTGGTGTCATCTGTAAGTCTGCTAAGTGCATTCAATCCCATCCCCTGCACATCCTCTGTGCATGAGGCAGCAGTAAGGGGCACAACCCTGCACCACCGCCTCTGCCCCACACACAGATCTAGGGGACGTGGATCACGGGAGTGTGTGCAGTGGTGGGGAGCTGGCTCTACCCCTAGGTGAGCTGTCTGCAGCCCCGTCCCACTCCCCACCAGGGCCCCGTGGATGCGCATTGTGGGCCCAGGTCCCATGCCCCACACACCGCCCAGCTAGGCAATCACTGCAGCCCTGCCCAACTTCCCACCCCCCCAGCTTACCTGTAGGAGCTGCTCTCCAGGCTGCCTGGTGGCCATGTGCATGCACATACATATGGCGCCCCTGGCCTGACCACCCTCCTCCCTCTCCCATAGCCCCTTGCAGGCTGGGACTCTGCCACCCTGCAGACAGCTCGTTGCAAAACTGCAAAATCCATGGGTTTTTCTGCTAAGGGAGGAAATCCACATTTTACTGCGCTAAGGGGGGAAATCCACATTTTACTCTGTTTTTCCATGGGAAACGGAAAACCCAGATCCCTGCTAATAAGAATGTCACAGGAGATGGTATCAAAAGCCTTGCTAAAATCAAAAGGCAGACAAGGTTCTTTAGGTGAATCTGATCTCTTTTATTAGACCAACTCAAATAGTTGGAAAAAACTCTTCTTTGCAAGCTTTCAGGTACAAATACCCTTCGCCAGGCTGAGGAAGTGTCTGAAGTTGGTCTGTGCTCTTCCTGGATGGAACAGTAAAGAAGCCAGAAGCCAGTAGGCATGCAAGAAAGCCAGTCAGTGAAAATGTAGACTGCAAAGAAGAATTTTTCCAACTATTTTAGTTGGTCTAATAAAAGAGATCGGATTTACCCACAGAATCTTGTCTGCCTATGCCCCTAGACCAACACACCTACAACCTACACCCTTGCTGAAGTCAAGACATCTCACATCTACCCTTTCCCCAGCCACAAAGCCCATCACCTTGTCATAGAAGGAGATGGGGTTAGTCAGGCTGGAAGGATTCCAGTTGTATTAACATGCATTGCTACAACCATCACCTGTGCAATAGCAAGCTCTAGTCACTGCCACGTGCTTTCTGTTTATGGTTTTACAGATGTTGGTGTGTACTTCACATACTAAAACCCTTACTCATTTCATGAGCCTGAGCCAAGTCATACAGATTTCTGGAGCTCCACCTTGCGACTGTTTCATGGCAAAGCACAAGCTGCATCTGCTGGGTAGGAGCCTACCTGACGCCGGGGCTGTGGGAATGGAAACTCCAGGCGTGCACAATGAAACAAAACCAGCTGGAACAGCTCCCAATACCCCTAACAACAGTTAAGCTCACAACAGTCTGATAACTTAATCGGCCTTAATCATAGCCCTCGGCTCATAAGCAATTAGGAAAGCCTGTGACAGATGAGGCTGCCAGTATTTTTTCTGGTTTCCCACACTTATGCTGGAAAGATTATACAAGTAACAAGTTGCCAGCACCCTGTTGTCTGCCTCTGTGTAGCTCAGAAAATAAATGGACCAGATTCCCAGCTAATGTCAAGCACAGCTGTAAGAACTGTAAAAACAATATACAGCAATGGAGCAAGCTGCCAAGGAGAGGGGGCAGAAACTCACTCCTTCTCTGCTCCTTTTTCATCCGTCTTTGTTTCTTACTTCTGCCTGTTGCAGAGCACTTGGGTGCCCTGCTCCTTTAAGGGTTGAAACTGCTGGGGAGAGAGCAGAGTCCCAGCTGCTGGTTACCAGGGCAACCAGAACACACCTGCCAGCAGTCAGCTGACCAGAAGGGGCAGGGCCTGGCTCATATATAAACTCCAAGGCTGAGGCCAGGAAGGGAGTTTGCTGCCAGCGGCCAAGTGGGAAGGAGCCTTCCTAGAAGGAGCTAGGGGAAGAGGCCTGAGGGCTAGTCTAGCTTCTGGGAAGGCTATTTGGGGAAGGAGGAGGCCTCACTGGGGGCCCACTGCAGCGTGGGTACCCCGGTGCCAGAGAAGGGGTGCAGAGACCCCATTGCCAGATAAGGGCGCGGTATTTGGGAGTGCATAGACCCCGGCACCAGAGAGGGTGTGGCACTAGGGGCACAGAGACAGGGCTGCGGAGAGCCCAGAGAGGACAAGGGGGCCAAATCCCAGCAAGGCCTAGACCGGACAATGTCAATGCCATCTGCGAGGCTTGGGGTGTGGTAAAGGGGCGGTTGGAGCCATGCATATAGCCCTTAAGGCTGGGGTGTCCTGGAACATCTATTTTGAAATGGGTTCAGGGAAGTCCATCAGGACTGTGCTCAAGTAGGCTTAAAGGCAGCCTCCCTACACATTACCATTACATCAAGACATGGTGTGTGAGAATAGAGGGTGCCCAGCAGTCTGTATTGGCATGGTCAAGGGGCCCTAGAGGTAACACGGTCATCCTCGAGGACCCCATCCTGTGACACTGCCCTACATGATGATTAAGTTGGTTTCATGGCTTTTGCTAATACGCAGGTAATCACTTTATATGTTGAAATATAATGCACCTTGTCATTTTTCTTCTCTTTTTCTTTTGGCCACAGCAAATAGATATATTTTCCTTCTTATTTTTGGACCAAATATTTAGGAATTGTAAACCTGAAGCAACCCAATGATAGGTCACCCAAGTGTCCACTCTTATCCTCTTAAAAAAATTGCAAACCCTTTAACTTCTAATAACTTCTTTGCCTCTGTCTTCCTCAGTAAGGACCAGAACTGCCACCTCCCTGCTGGGCCCCCTTTGGGCCCTGGGCGAGGCTCACCTAGGCCTAGAGTGAGTGAGGATTTAGTTAGGGAGCTTCTGGAGGGGCTGGACATTTTTAAGTCAGCTGGCCCGGATGATCTTCACCCTAGAGTCCTGAAGGAACTGGCTGGGGTCATTGCAAGTCCCCTGGCGCGGCTTTATGAACACTCGTGGTGCTCTGGAGAGGTGCCGGAGGACTGGAAGAGGGCCAACGTGGTTCCCATCTTCAAAAAGGGGAGGAAAGAGGACCCGGGGAACTACAGGCCAGTCAGCCTTACCTCGATCCTGGGCAAGCTGTTCGAGAAAATTATTCTGGCACACATCCAGGAGGGGCCAGCAGGGAACGGCATGCTCAGGGGCAACCAGCACGGGTTCATCAGCGGCAGGTCCTGTCAGACCAACCTGGTGGCCTTTTACGACCAGGTCACTAAATCATTGGATGCAGGGGTGGCAGTGGATATAGTTTTCCTAGA